GCGATACTCTTCTGGCTTCACTCATACCCCATCGAGGCAGGCAGAGCTGACCCTAGAGGATGCTGCCTATTCAGGAATCTGAAAATGTTGATGGGGCCTGGAAATTTAAAATAGTCCTTTCCTATTTATTAGGCTCTGTAACCGTATTCACCCTCAAACATACTCTGAGATTGCCTACCCATCCTTGTCTTCCCTTCCTCCCGATTTATCCTCTAGGCCTGGCAGAAAGGAAAAGCAGGAAGATGGGGTTGCAGAGGCCCTTATCCCGGCAGGCCTGGATGTGGGCTCTGCTGGATTGGCCCTGCGTTCAAAGAGCTACAGAACTGACACCAGAGAGAAGAGAAGAAAAACGCGGAGGACTGGAGGGAGACCCAAGGGCTCCTGACCTTGGAGGGCCGAGGAGCAAACTCCAGATTGGCTTTAGTTTCTTTCTGCTCCCCAAGTTCCAAAGGGGTCTGAGCTCCTTGAGCTGTGCAGGTTTTAAAATGTTGGAGGGCTTCTCACAGGTCTGTGGTTCAGAGTTCACCGCCCCCAGTTTAAATTATCAAGAGGCAGCTAAAACTCCAACACCCAAGCAGCCACAAGCTGCAGGAGAAAAATCAAAATGGGGCTGGGAATGCCGGGTGCAGAAAAAGCAGGCTGAGAGGGGTGGTCAGCTCTATCAAAAAGATTGGTAAGAGGTAAAGACTTTTTTTTTTTTTCTTTTTTACCAAATCCCCCAAATGTTTGTTTTGGGCTCCTGCCCATCCAGATAAATCAAGCTAACAGATTAGGAAGTTCATAAAATTGTATTCTTAGGTAATGACATCCAGAGAGGTAATAAATATTCCCTCTGCTCTGGTGGCCTCTGGAGTTCTGGTGTTCAGGGATCTTCCATCTCTCGTTCCAAGCCTGAGAGGGGTCTCTTGGAAGGGGAACATTTAAATTAAAATTAGCTCTCCATAGGTGCGGTGCCAGATAGAAGCTGTGGAAAACCTGGAGTGGTGGTTTTGTGAGTGCAGTAGCATGCTCCCCCAGGACTGGGCAAAAAGCAGAGAAAAAGATGGTACAGTTGCTCCAGTGCACGCTCCTCCCCGTCATAGCACCCTTGATCTTAAGGGCCCCTTTCAGAGTCAGTCTCCCCTAATCCTAGAAAAGCAGAGAAGGACACCCTGGCCCCAAGCTCCCAGCAAACCTTTTAATTGTTTTCACTTCCCTACCACTCCCCCAACACACACACACACACACACACACACACACACACGCACACACACACACCCCTAGCTGTGGGAAGCTGTCTCTGGATTTCAATCTGCCAAATCCAAGCAGAAAGAAAACTGAAGCACAGATTGCAGAGAAAACTTCGTGGGAAACTTTACACAAACAACAGCAAGAGACCCACGGACAGGGAATGTGCCCCAGTTCTTTTCCCTCAATCTAACTTTCTCAGACTCTCTCTCTCTTTTTTGAGCCAAATTTCTTTACTCCCCAGGTACACAGACTCGGCACAGAAACGTCTTTTTCTCCAAGCAGAACCCCTCCGCTCACAATTGGATTTCCCGCCTTCACTCCCTAAGACCGGGGATCGTGACAAAAATTGACTGGCAAATAGAGTTTAAACTTTTGTGCTCCTCACCCCCAGAGCAGACCGAGTGCTAACTACTTACATGTCAAAGGGATCTTTGGCCTGTGGGGATCTCCTGGCGCTTGGAGAGAAGGAACCCTGGAAGATCGGTGTCGCCGTTTCACCCGTCTTCTTTTTACTTAGCCATTGAAGAGAGAGGGATACAATGCACTTACAGGCATTCCTGCGCCTTGCCTCTCCCATTACTCTGGGCAAGAAATCCCCAGTCCTACAAAAGCAGTGGCATCCTATCTGGAGACCAGGGCTGAGCAAGGGCTGGCTTGGGAGGGTCAGAGATGGGGGTGGGGGAGAGGTCAGAGGCGCTGCAGAATATAAAGGCAATGGGAGAGAAAATGCTGTGTCCTCCCCGTGAACCTGGGCTGTGTCCTCCCCCTAGCCTTTCCCCACTGCTCAACCCAACTTAAATAAAAGCTCAGCCCTCAGCTTCCAGTGAGGCTGTAGCAGCATCAGGCAGAGAGCAGGGACCAAGACTGCTGGGGCTTGGGGCCCTCGGCCCAGATTGGCCCCCCACATCCCAACCCTGCCCTGCCATTCTGGGTGACGAAGTCCAAGGCAAAGGAGAACTTTGGGGAAAAGGGAGAAAATGGAGCCCACTGGAGGGAAGGCCAGAGGACAAAATCTTCAAACTCAAATGTAAGGGATTTTAGTTTGGGTTCATTTGTCAAGAATTATGGATTTCTGATGTTTCTCCTTTTCAGACCATAAAGGACAGAAGGAGACACACAGAGAATGACCATGTATGTGAGGGAAGAGGAAGGAGAAGAAATAGAAGACATAAAGAAGGGGAAATAAAATAAGTGTCCCAACCCTTTTATGCTGCTTTTCCTGAACTAGAGTGTTCCTTCAGCAATTTCAGGGAGAAACTTAGGAAATAAAATGTAATAATTTTCCCCCTCCTCACTCTCATCTCTTCCACTTTTGGGAGGAGAGGGATAAACTCCCTGAAAGTCACACGAGCAAACTTAGGAAAGAACCATGGATCTCAATTTACCCCTTCCCTGCTTTCCATCTTAGCTCCTTTACAGGCTGGAAAAGACACCCTGGTGCCCTTAGACCTTCCTTCCCTTTTCGCAAGCGCAGTTAGAACCCCCATTTTCTGTTCCAAAGGCAATCGCCTCAAGACGATAGGGGCTACAGTCAGATTTGGCCCCTAATTCACTTGATCACATAAAAAACTCCAGATAATTGTTGGCCTGCCTCCTCGCACTGTAGGCAGCATGTTTTGTTGTCTCCAGGGTACCACTGAGGGAGGAAAAGTAGACCTAAAGGACTAAGAGATTCCCCCCAACACACACACTTGTGAGGGCATGCATACACACACACACACACACACACACAGAGCAAGTAACATCCAGCAAGTGGTTCAAAAGGAAATAAATTCAAATCACACCAATGTGATTTGTACAACTTAGTCCTGCTGTTACCTTTCACTCCAGAATTTGGGGATGGGAGAAGGGATATCCCTGGCTTCCCTGCATACCCTAGATCTCTTCTCCCTCTGTCTTCTACTTCTAATTGCCTTTCTTCCTGAAATATGGATAAATCATCTGAGAAGAAGCTCACCAACAGCCCTCCTCCCACCTTCTCCTAACAAACAAGCAAAAAATTAAGCAGGCCTTGCTAGGACCTGGTTCTCAGACCAGAATTATTTGGGAGCCTTTGGCTTGAATGTATTATTCAGGTAATCCAGGCAAGATTTTTTGTTTCTTTTTTAGCCCCAAGGAAACAATTTTATTTAATTAATTTATTTCTTTACAGCCAGAGAGGCTTGTTCAGGCTATCCCCATACACTGCCAGGACCTGGGAGGTTATAGAAAGAGAGGTCGGTCCTTGACTCTCCCTAAATCTCTTCTCAACACCTGGCAGGTCCATAATAGAAGAGAATAAAAAGGTAAAAATCTTTCATTATCTCCAGGCATCAACCTTTGAGGCCTATCCATAGCAAGGGTAACTCCCAGGCCTCTGGCCTCCACCTTACCCCTTTTTCCAAGCCTAAACAAACAGAGAAGGCATCCTGACAGGTCACTTTGCTGCTTCAGAATCACCAGCTCGAAACCTTTCTTCTTTTAAGAACTCAAATGTTTAGGGGATGTCTTCCTTAATCCCTCATCCCAAAAGAGCCCTAAAGATGAAAGAAAACTCTTCTCTTTCCCACTCCCTAAACGTGCCCTCTTGTCTACAAATTAGGCAGGCCTACTCAGCACAGAGGAGGGAGAAGGGAAGAGAGAGAACATACAGAAAGAAGAAACTGTACCTAACTATAGAAAAGTGAGACACCCCCCACCCTTAGCTCCACTGAAGTGCCCCCAAAGGAGTCTGGCCTCTCTGCAGACTCAGGGGGAAGCAAGGGGACTGGAGAAATTAGCCTTAATCTTCCACATCCCCTCTTCTGAAGATCCCATACCCCAACCCTTTTGCTGTTTCTTCTGAGGACATTGGAAGACTAATGGAGAGCTAAGATTTGTGTGTTTGTTTAAAGTAAACTTAGGCAACTATAGAGAAGATGGGATGTTACCAGGCCAGAGAAAGGAGGGGGATAAAAAGAAACCATCAGACATTGACGTAAAACTAATTCACATCCACTGGTTTATTATTGATCACGGGGCATTTCACATCAACACTAAAATTCTTTATTGCAAGTTTTACAATAATCAAGTAAATTCAGTCCAAAAACACAATAACCACGATGGGGGTGGGGAGAGATTCTACCTATAGACTGCCTCTCTGAACTGAAAGTTCATTTTGATTTTCTTTTGGCTCCTCAAACTGAACAGCTCTGAGAGGCTCTCCAGATGCATTTAGCTTTGTCTGCTGTCTTCGCCCCCTCTCCTCCCGCACCCCCCCCCAACAATAATACAAAAGAACTTCATAGCTTTGTTCTCCTTAAAATGACTTCCCCCTCACTAACCTCCCCTGGTGCATTTTCAATGCAAAAGGCCTAAGGAAAGAGGGGGGAAGAAGGAGGAGGAGAAGGATGAGAATTGGCTTTAAAATCTCTTTCCTTTTTTCTTTTCCTCATTTCCCCTGAAATTCACCCAAACCAGACTATCACACCTTGCAATATATAATTTTTGCAGTTTTTTTCTTAAAAAATAAATAACCCCCCAAATGGCCTTAAAAAAAAAAAAACACCCAGCAGGTACCATGCTAAGACAACATCACATGCTTAAAAGGGTCCTTAACAGTGGAAGGCAGAGGAGGGCAGGGGGCTTGTTTGTTTATCTGTTTTGTCTGTTTGGAACTGACAAGGGACAAGGTGAGAGGAAGAGAGAAAAGAACCGATATATATATATATATTAAATT